ACCTGTGTGCACGCCGTGTATTTTATCAGGCAGATGTCTCTAAACAGTTAAGATGGAGATAACATTGATCTCAGATCATTGCTTGAAAATGTGAATTAACAAATAAATTAATGTTATTTGTTAATTCATATTAACAAAGATACAAACAAACTTAGAGCTGTCATCAAGAAATCAGATTTGAGCTAAGCTAAAAAGACCTGGGACAGTTAATCAGAACGCCGTCTGGTCTAAAAACCCCTGATTTGTGTCTCTGTCCTCTTCCTGTCATCGTCAGCTGTCTGTGGGACCTGGAGACCGGCAAGCAGAAGGTCATCTTCACCAACCACATTGGAGACTGCATGTCGCTGGCTCTCTCCCCCGACATGAGCACCTTCATCTCTGGAGCCTGTGACTCTCTGGCCAAGCTGTGGGATGTGAGGGAAGGCTCCTGCAAGCAGACCTTCTCTGGCCACACCAGCGACATTAATGCCATTTCTGTGAGGATATCCCAGAAACTCACAACACACACACACAAATCACACTATTTCCAGTCTATAGGGGGACAGTTGTGGCCTGAAGGCTGCCTGAGCAAAAATATCTCCTCTTGGTTTAAAACTCAAACGCTTCTTCTCTTCCCACCTGTAGTTCTTCCAAAGTGGCAATGCCATCATCACAGGCTCCGATGACTGCCAATGCAAGATGTACGACCTGCGCGCCGACCAGGAGGTGATTTGCTACCAGGACTCCAGCCTGAACGCAGGGGTCACATCTCTGGCTGTCTCCAGCTCAGGCCGCCTTATCTTTGCAGGTTACGATGACTTCAACTGCCACATCTGGGACTCACTGAAGGGAGAGAAAGTCGGTGAGCAGAGTTTATTCAAAATTACTTCAATAAATATGTATATCTTGTGGATGGATGGATATCTTCATTTATAGACTTTTAAAAGGGAGTGAAGTTGTCATTAACGTTGGTGCTCTTCCACATGTCACCTGTAGATGGTGCTGATGCACTATTTTTATGATCTCTTTGCTTCCAACAGTTCATTAATTTTTTTTCAAAAATGAATATTTTATTCCTTAAAAAAGAAAATACATTTATTTCCTTTGCTCTTTCCAATTCATTTTATTTACTCTCTTTCCTTGCCGTCATTTCTTTTCCTTCCCTTGCTTCCTCTCCTCCCCATGCTGTTTTCCCCTCTTTTTTCTTTTCCTTTCCTTTAATTAATCATTTCCACCATTTTCCCTTTGCTCTTTCTCCTTGTTCCCTTTCTTCTCTACCATTATTTTTCTATTTTTCTATTTTTGGTGTTACACTCTCATACTCATACTCATTCTTCTACTCTTTTTACTCTTAATTTCTACGGTCACTTCATGTTATTCCCTTTTCCCCCCAATGTTCTTTCTTCTCGTCTTTAATTCTCCTTCCTATATGTGCTTCTCTCGCTCATCTTTTTCCTTTACTTCCCCTCTTTTCTTGTCCACTTTCCACTCTTTTCTTTTCCATGTCCTCTCCTTGAATTTCTTCTTTTTCTTTCTATATTTTTCTTTCATCACTTTCATGATTTTTTTCCCCTCCCTGATTTTTTTGGCCTTTTTAAGTTTTTTGTTCCATTTGCTCTTCTTTGCTTTCCTCGTATACTTTCTTGTGATGTCTTATTTTTGTTCCATACTTTCTCCTCTGTTTGTACTTTCCACTCTTTTTGTTTTTCATTGACTCATCTTGTGCCTTCTGACCATCTTTTTTTCCCTTTTCTTTACTCTCCTTTTAATTTCTCTGTCATAATTACTTTTATTCACTCATCTCCCTTGCACACAACCATGACCTCTTACTTCTGCACTCTTTCATGTCTTTTATCTTGTTGCACAACACCAGGCGTGCTGTCCGGTCATGACAACAGGGTGAGCTGCACCGGCGTCCCTGATGACGGTATGGGCGTCTGCACAGGATCCTGGGACAGCTTCCTCAAACTGTGGAACTGAGGCGTCCCTGCAGAGAAAAACACCAGGAGACGAAGAAGAAACGGAGCAGGACAAGAGGAGAGGAAAATAGTGGCTGAGATTTGACCTTCCTCTCTTTCTTTTCCCCGCTCTGCTTCTTCCTCATACATGTATGCAAATTTTAAAAGGTTGTGAATGAGTCATATCGTGCAAATGGCATCAGTTAAACAATGCACGATGCATCCCACTGCATGTACAAGAAAGCTTTACTGTTGATTTATTTACTGAAAGTAAATAAGAAGTAAATCTTTAAAAAATAATAGATTATTAATCAAAACGGAGCTGAAAATAAGCTCTTATTGAAAATGATAAAAATCTCTAGATTTTCTGGAAATAACTGAATAAAGAACAGTAAATAATGAAAATATGAAGATAGAGCTACAGACTTGTTTTTATTGTCTTCGAGGTCTTTGACCTTTTAAAAGAGCACCGCAATCATCTAGAAGAAAAAGACTGACGTGTATATTTATTTATATTTTATAGATTAACACATTAGAAATGTACAGAGTCTCTTTGTTGTATCTGATCTGTTTGCTTTTTTGGCTGCACATATTCTGAGTGAGTATTTGTATGGTAGAGCTGCTTTCTCGGGTCCCGTATTACCACCAGCTGACTTTGATCCAAGATGGCGGCTTTCCCCACTTCACAGGTAAAAATGACACTGATGGACTCGTGGATGATGGTTTGAAGGTGGAACCTGGCTGTAAAACACTCCTGTAAGCTTTCTTTACTCTGGCTTCAGCTGCATTTTGTTGAACTTTTAAACTTGAGCAGTTCCTCTGTACAAAAAAATACAAGATTTTTGTTGGAAATCTTTCTAATAAACATAGAATTCTGCATTAAGACGATGTCAGAGTGTTTCAATGACAAGGTCTGACCTTTAGTTATTAGTTTTAATTTCTTACATTAACATGCACATACAGTCCTCCAGAATCTAGACTGGTCCCTGCAGCTGTTGCTCTCATCATCAGAGGGCAGAAATGCCTGGAGGGGAATCTCATTAGAGGTCAGCACACCTCAGTAACGTGAGTCATACCTGCAAACAGCAGCAGGGTAGACACAGAGATGCTGGTGCAGAAATGAAGCTCTACAGTGGACGAGGAGGTTTGAATCGTCTCCAGACAAAGTGCTGAACTTCTGCATCACGTGTACTGGAATCAGAAAATAAGTAAAAGTGTGTAACACTGATTTAAAAAAGCACTTTTCACTGATAAAAACTGCAAAGTGCTTCACAAAAACACAAGAAAAACACAAGTAGATTCATAACATAAAACATCAAATTAATTACAAGCTTGTAAAAGAGTCTGTGGAGTCTCTACAGCACAAAGACAATTTCTCAGCTTTGACAGTGAAGCCAACGCCGACCTTTGACCTGATGACCTGTAAGCTCAATGAGGTTCCTCACGGTGACAGACATATTGAGGGAGTTTGACCATGTAGGACTGATGGGTTTGTAGCTTAAACCTATTCGCTGGGACGTTGAGGACAATTTAATTACACAGCAAAGCAAGACACGAGTAGGCAAAGTTCTTCATGTTTCTCCTGCACGGGAGAGAACCGGACAAACGCTTCCTTCACTTGACCCCAGTCGCTCTCATCTGCTCCCCCGTAACACTGCTCTTTTATTGAGGTTACATGAATATGCATAGGTGCATTAACATACGACGTATACATACACACAAAGAGTACCTTGCCTGTGTGTTGTGTAAGTGTGTACATGTGTGTGTAAACCTGCTGGTCTGGAAGTCCAGCAGTTCATCTAAACAAAAGGCACTTAGACTAAACCAGACATGGCTACGTTTACCATAAAACAATAAGAGCAGGTACGACCTCTCCCACGCTCCCAGGATGTGGCTGTGATTGCCAGAACACTCTGGAATGCACACAAAGCCTTTGCAGACTCCTAGGGATCGCACATCCTATCGATTATACACCTCTAAGCATATTTGGTTAAATATTTCTAAGCACAAATGACAATCAACAATATAAACCTAACAAGGACCCTAAAAGGAAAAACTAAAACTTTAAAGTAAATTCTAAAATGTACAGTCAACCAATGAAGACAACGACCTGATGGATGGATGACATGATGAAGGCCACAGGTCAAAGCCTTGGTCAAATAATAAATCTGTTCTTTATTCTATAAGTGTTGCTGGAGCTTCAGACCCGTGTTCTTCTCTATGCACTTTGGGTGTCAGTGGGATTAGGCTAACTGGTCATTCTAAATTGCTCATAGGTGGGAATGTGAGTGTGAATGGTTGTCTGTCTCTATGTTAGCCCTGCGACAGACTGGCGACCTGTCCAGGGTGTATCCTGCCTCTCCCTGAATTGGATTAGCAGAAGAGAATGGATTTAAGTTATTTAACAAACATAAACGTCATGTAAGGTACGAGTTTTCTGAATAGTCAGACGTTTTGTACATAAAGGTACAATTTAGCAAAATGTATAATTTAGACAGAATATAATGTTACAGTAATGATTTGCTTGTGATTTTATGGTATTTTTGGCATGATTTTCACAATAAAAGCATCCGATTTTTACATATTATGATTGTAAATTTGGGAAATACATTTTCAAGGTATTATAATTACAGTGAACTGAATCAATTAAATATTACTGACCAAAGTAAAATATTGATAACTTTAAAGGAGGTCTGATTATTCCAAGTTCCATCCATTTAAATCCTGTTTTTGTTTTACATGATCATCATGCCCAAAGTGACTCACAATAACAATATTACTGAAAATATAAATAACAATAAAATTGTTATATTGTCAACACTCATGTTTGACTTTGTTCATTGTGTCTTTTTATTGGAAAAAATAAAAC